CTTACTACCACCTTTACCTCCCTACTTTCATCTGCTCGTTCTCCCAGCCGTAGAGCAAGAGGAATTCTGATATGAGATTGAGGAGAGGGAGAGAGAGGTGTGTTTATATCGGTTTATGGAGATCCCAAACGGTCTTGAATACAAGCTCGTCTCTCTGGAGAAAGAGGTGCCTCATTCCGAAGGGGGAGACTCTGCTTCTAGTAAATGGGCTCTCTTCCACTCTGATTTCAACATCCTGAAGATTAGAGGAGTTGGAAAGCACTCCTCTTGGGGGGTTCATAATGGTATTGTTATATTCATTGGAGACTCTTTCCAAAGCTAGTCTCCGGGATCTTCCAGAGCCCAAAGAAGTAGTGTATCCGTTGCCCTGACCCGAGTTTACCCCAGTTGGAGAGGAGGTAAGGAAAGTTTTTTGATGACTGTGAGATCTCCGAGGGGACACATGTCGAGAACCAGAGGAATCTCTAGGTAAAACCTCTTGGGGGCGGGGTCTCGAAACTTCTTTCCAATGGTATGGAGGTTGACGGTATCGTGGAGGAGCTCCATGATCGTAAGAACGGGTTGTGCTCCCATCAGCCCGCTCTCTGCTCTGATATGTGAACATTGTCTCTCTGCTTTTTCTCTCTCTGACTACGAGAAAGTTATCATACGTATCATCCCTTTGTAGACACAGAGGTCGAGAAGGTGGGTTATAACGCTGGGACGAGCCAGCCTGCGCATAAACTTTCCTATCCCATCTTCTTTGTTTTGTTTCTTCAAGCCGACCCAGAGTATTATCACGATTTATCCCTCTGTTTCCGCGGGGGTTTCCTGAACCAGAGATGTCCTTATTGCCGAAACGACAGTCTTGTTGTTCATGGTCAAGCCTCATGCAGAGGAAACAATGTTTATGGAGATTTTCATATTCAAACTCGATTCGCAGCTCTTCTCCTGAAGAGAAGAGCTGCGGTTATAAAGCATTGATCTCCACTTGAACCTTACCATCATCCGAATCAGTGTTGACTACACGACCAATCTTACCA